GGGGACCCGGGCGGGGGCCTCGAGGGCCGGGGCCCTTCTGCTCCGTCCGGCGGGTCCGGGCCCGCGCCCCGGGCTCCGTGCCCCCTTCCTGTCCAGTCAGGGTTGTGGGTGTGACGCTCGCACCCGGCCCTGTGCCCATCTGCCTGCTGTGCAGACCGTCTCCACCGCGGAACCTTGGGCGCCGGAGCGCGGGGACCGCGTCGTGTTTCGCTGCCCGCGCGCGGACCCCGCGGGCCCCTCCTGAGAGCTGGGCACGAGTGCCCCAGGATCCAGAGCCCCACAGGATGTTTGTTCTTCTCTCCGATGCCTTTTGCTTTTGTTTCCTTTCTGGATAACAAAATAGTATGTCTTTGGCGTGTATTTCACGGGCCTCAGTTTCCCCATCTTCTTTCAACGCAAAACCTATGTTTCCTCTCACTTTAATCAGTGTCGCCCGTGGTTTTCTCCCCGCTCCTTTCACCTGCTGATGTTACTGCGTTTTGTGTGATGCGGATGCCTCCACCCCTCTGAAATCTCAGAACCTCAGACTTCACCTTGAAGCAACGCTAGGAATCGAGTTTGTAGGAATTGAGATTTAACTTTTTTTCCTGCCATTTCAAAACAGCTGTGTGGCTTCTTTTCAATTTGTTGCTTTTATCAGTTGGTCAAGATTCAGGAGTAATTTTTGTTCTGGATTTCTGGCTTCTATTATGAACTCTCACGTGAAACCTCAGATGGGACTGAAGAAAACTCAGGTGGCTGACAGTCCTGCTTATCTAAAGCTTTATGCCCTGTAGACTGTCAACAAGCTTTTTATGAGCAGCCAGGCTTCAAGAGGGTGCCCTTTTCTCTTCCTGAAGACTTGGGGGGGGGGAGGGTTGACAATGGATGATGCCAGTATTTTTTTTTTTAATATATCTTTATTGATTTCACAGAGAGGAAAGGAGAGAGAGAGAAAGAGATAAAACATCAATGATGAAAGAGTCATTGATCGGCTGACTGCCTCCTGCATGCCCCTGACTGGGGATCGAACCCGCAACCCAGGCATGTGTCCTGACCGGAAATCGAACCCCGATCGCCTGGATCCTAGGTTGACGCTCAACCTCTGAGCCACGCTGGGCCCGGCTGCCCATATTATATATTTAGAAAATAATCATGAAACAATGGACAGACCCTCAAGAGTGAATGATGTAGTACAGATTGAAAACTAAATGCTGAATTTGTTTTTACTTAAAATGGTAACTGTGCGTGTTGGACACAGTGAAGGGCTTTCAGATGTTGGAGGCTCAGGCATGTGTTAAATCTAGTTTAAAAAGGGTAGGTGCTTCTCTCTTGTAAAATATTGCTGGCTGTCAGTTTCTTCTTTCTGAGTTTAGATTCCTGTTTATATCATCATTGAATAGCACATCCCAAGTCCACAAACTCCTGGGAAACATTTCAGAACCTGCTGAATTCATTTTTAGGGTNTGGGCCTGGCTGCCCATATTATATATTTAGAAAATAATCATGAAACAATGGACAGACCCTCAAGAGTGAATGATGTAGTACAGATTGAAAACTAAATGCTGAATTTGTTTTTACTTAAAATGGTAACTGTGCGTGTTGGACACAGTGAAGGGCTTTCAGATGTTGGAGGCTCAGGCATGTGTTAAATCTAGTTTAAAAAGGGTAGGTGCTTCTCTCTTGTAAAATATTGCTGGCTGTCAGTTTCTTCTTTCTGAGTTTAGATTCCTGTTTATATCATCATTGAATAGCACATCCCAAGTCCACAAACTCCTGGGAAACATTTCAGAACCTGCTGAATTCATTTTTAGGGTTATTTTTAGCTCCACTCTTACTTGTTAGGTTAGGGCCTCTTTTAAAATGTCGGTCCTGCCTTGATTGTCTCACATTTCCCATGGTTTTAATGCTGGCAAAGCTGCAGGATTTTTTGTGATAGAATTTCTTTTCTTCTTTTAATGCAAACTATAATAAGATGACTACTTCTGTTTCTCCTACATAGGAAACTAGGTGATTATAAAAATTGCTTGGTCATGTCTGATCACAAGTAGTCTCACGATGAGTTTTCTGATGCTTCATCTTTATAACTACACTTTCAGTCTTTAGTGTCAGTGGACTTCTTTCTAAAAGTATAGGTTTTACATTTCTACAGAGGATTCCAGGGGCAAGAAAGGTATGAATACTGCCTGGTTGGACAGCACAACAAGGCAGTATTCCTTTCTCACCTTCTTCTCATTACCAGCCCTGTTTCCCGAACAGTTCTTAGCTTTACTTCTCTTTGGCAAGAGCTGCTCTTCTGTCCACATCCCAGAGTCAAAGGGACCTTTGTGAAAACTGCCAGTCAGACAGTGTATGAGCTGATTGCTTCCAAATTCTATCCGGGTACTGTTTTAACGACTCTAACTTCCAAAAAGTGTATTAGCACAGTTTCCGGCAACCATGAATTCTGAGAGACGTTTTACACCAACTGAATTTATTCTCATAAAAGTGTTTAGTTTTCCCTGAGTCCAGTTAGAAGTAGTGAAATGACAGCTTCCTCCAGCCTGTGACCAAGAACTTGCCACCACATAGAGTAGTAAAACAGTGATGAAAAGTTATCTCCCCCCATTTTGGTAAGCAGGGTGACGTTGGGATGGAATTCAGCTTGAGAGACTTACAGAACCAACACACCACTTTCTTTCTGAAGGTGGAAAGCAGGCTGCGTCCTGTTGCCAGTGATTTTGATCTTTACAAGGGCTGGAATCTCGCCGTCCTGCTGTTGAGACTGTTTAGTGCCCTCAGTGCCAGGATCAATTCAAGTTTGATACTTAACTTCATGGTTTATCCTCTTTAAAAAAAAAGAAAAGGTTGAATCTTTTAAAATATCCCTGTTGGTGCCAAATAGTGTTCCAGTAACATCCAATCCGATCCTGTACCACACTTCTCTCCCTACATGCAGCCTGGTGTTTTTTTCCACCTTGGCAAGGTAAGTTCCTTGGTGCTTGCATGAGTAGGAGGAGTTGTGGTTTTTGATTTTATTCTTTTCTTGGTGGGAGGTTGAACAGGTTAGTTAGAGGGGGTCCAACCTGGTTGTCTGGGCGCTGGTGCAGCCGGATAGCAGAGTGTCTGTCACCTGGCTCATTTTGGAAGCGAGGTTTTCCTGTCATGGCGCCAGGTGGCCATGTCTCTGGTCCTAACCCCCTGCTCCCACTGCATGCTACCATCTCTGAGCGTGCCTTTCCCTGCAGGGTCATGTGATGCCACATGTTCTTGCAGGTGCAGTGTGTGTGTGTGTGTGGGGGGGGGAATTGCAGTGTCATGAGCCCACTTTCAATACGTGTGAATATATGGGGAAGCAGGAGAACCCCTTTTGATAGCCTGCCCCAAATATCTCTGTCCTGGGTGGAGATGAAGTCATTCTGGAGCAATGTCTGGGAGAGCCCTCTGGTCCTTCTCTCCCAGCTTCAGGTTTGACAGGAAGTTTGGAGACAGGGTTGAAAACAGGTCCTGAGCTGGGAACACTCAAGGCTGAGGGAGTTGCCAGTCCAGTGACCCTGCAGCCTCTGCCACCACCTACCTTCCTCCATTAGCCGGTGGGAATGTGGTCAGTAGCTTCCAGCACGTTGCCAATGGAGACTGCTGGCCCCATGGGTCCTGGGTGAACAGACCCTGGGCCTGGCAGCCCTTCCTTGCTGTGCAGGTAAGGCCTTTGGTGTCTGTGGTAGCTGCCTGTGCCCAGCTTGGAGCCTCCATGGCTACTTGTCAGGTAGATAGACTAAGAAGGTTTCTGGTGCAGACACTTAGCTGTTGTCTTGGACACGGGGAGAAAACCCTTGGGAGCTACTCACGGGCTCCTGTTTTAGTAGAGTTTTTTTGGAAACGACCTCCTCTGAACTTCGCTCTTGGGAGGGATTAATCTTGGTGGCAGACAGTCAGGATGGGTAGGGAGGTAACTAATTAACTAGGCCGGGCCTCACACTTGGGTGACTTGGCTGATGCCAGCCCTGAACAATAACATTGACAACAGTGAATGATTTAATGAGGGTCCTGGGAAGGGTGGGAGCAGATGCGGGCAGGAGCAGCAACTGCTGAATCTTGGCTAGTGGATGGAGGAGACGATGTCCAGTGGATACAACCGCCTGGCTGCTGTCCCCTGGCTTTCCTCCTCTCCTGGGCCTGCCTGGTGGAGCTCGTGCCTTTCTTGTTGTGGGCCTGGGCTGCCTGAGGCTGGGCTCCTTGAGGGTCTGCGTCCTGCCTTCCTGTTTGTGAAGTGGGTTTGCTTGAGGCAGAGCCCCCACTCTGGAGATGTCCAGCCTCGTGTAAGCCGCAGGACAAGAGGCTCTTGGATGGAGAAGGAGCTGGCTTCCGTGGCTCAGGAGGGCTCTTGTAGCTACGAGTGAGCGTGTAGGATTCTGCGTTCCCACCTCCCTCAGTACAAATTCACATGCTGCTTCTAAGCTTAATTATGTATGTCCTTTGTCTTGGGTGATGTATGTAATCTGTTTTGTAAAATTGCAGGTGGCTGACACATCTTCATTAAGCTGGAATACCAGAATAAAAGGCTTCATTGCTTGTTTTGTTATAGGAATTCTCTGCTCACTGCTGGTAAGGCTTCCCTCCCCCTGTCTTTGCCCCTGCCTTCCTTCCCTCGGTCTTTCCCAAGTCACGCACCTCCTTTCCTCTGCTGCTTTTTCACCAAAATGCATGTGTAAGAGGAGAGGGAGGAGGGGAGTGGAGCGGGAGGTAGGGAGAGTGGGGAGGGGAGCAGGTTTCTCTGGGCGACTGATTGTGTGGCTGTGGGCAGAGGAGGAGAGCGCCTCACCTGCGGATGCCTCTGCTTTGTCTTCCAGGGCACTCTTCTGCTCTGGGTGCCGAAAAAGGGACTGTACCTCTTTGCAGTGTTTTATACCTTTGGTAACATCGCATCCATTGGCAGGTAACAGTTTTTAATCTACCCTTATCCACTTATTAGATGGGAAAATGGATATGGATTGTGCCTGAAAGGGGGTGGTGGTGAAGGAGGGTGCCACAATTGTTTTAAGGATTGGGGGAGAAAAGAGGTAGTCAAAATACATCCGATCCATGTCTTGTCACTTTAGAATATATCTATATCCTAGTTTATCTTTGAAATTCCCCTGGGAGAAAGCAGCAGTATGCTCCTGTTGTGATTTTGCATATGAGGGAACCATGGTACAGAGCAGTTGGACGATGTCTGTAAGGTTCACACACAGCCCTCTGCATTCTAGTCCTGCGGTCGCCATGACTTCACTACAGGTGAAACTTGTTATTACTCAGTGCAAGACCGTGTCAGACCTGCTCGTGAGGGCAGGAGTCAGCCCATTCCACGTGCTGTGGGCGCACAGACATCCACTCTTGATCCACATCGCGGTCAAATCATTCACCCTCACGCTTCAGCCACATCCGTGTGCTGACAACTCTAGTCCTGCCTCAGCCAGGGGGAGCGCTGGCTCGACTTCTGCCCACTAGCCCTGAACTCAGTTCTCTTTCCTCTCTTCCCCAGATTCCTGGGTGCCCACCCCACCCCCATCGTTGAGGCTTGGTATTGACCTCTTGCTGGCTCTTCCCTCTTTGTGCCCCATGGCCATTGTCCCTTATATGAGGAGCCCTCGTCATACCCTGCTGGGCTCTGAGCATTCAAAGACCAGTATGGTCTGGTTCCTGCCAAGATGGAGCTCGCTGGACAGCCAGGCAGACAGACAGAAACTGATAACAGAATAGGATGTGGAGAGAGATGCTGAGGGAGGGGCAGCTGGCCTGGTGTGACCCGACCCAGGGACTAGGGAGGACTTCCTGGAGCAGGTGGAATTTGAGCTGCTCTCAGGTGTCACTCATCTGAACTCTGCAAGAATCCATTGTCTGGTCCTCCATCGCCCCCTACCGGCCAATCATTTTCTGCCCCACTGAGCTCAGTGGCTCCCAGTCCCTCTCTGCAGGTGGAGTCAAACCGGTTAGCATGCAGACAGGCAAGACCCTCGAGATCTGCCTTTACCCCTCCCACCTCCCACTCGCCTCATGTGTACCCCGGCCAGGCTGAACCTCCTGCCTTTCTGGAGGTCTCTGTGCCTCTGCTCTGGCTGCGTTCTCTGCATGGAATGCAGCCCCATGTGCACCTCCTCTCCATGCCTCCCTCCCCCCATTTGGTGGATACTTGCAAGACCTAGCTCAAAAGCCACTTCTTCTGAGAAATGCCTCCTTATCACCTCCTCCCCTCCAGAATCAATGCCTGCCTTTTTCACACAGAGCTCTGCACACCTCGTATATATTTATGTGGTGGTAAACACAGTGTTTTGTCAGCTTACTTGGTACAAGTCTATAAGCCATTTGGCTGCACCTCTATTTTGCTTGTCCCTAATTATACCCAAACCAGCTGTTTCTAGCTGGAAATGTTGACAGATGATTGATTGCCTGAATCTAGACACCTTCTTAAAGCTTCGTTTATTAAATGCTGGCCTGCACATGTCTACTTGTGCCTCTAAAGCCCTCACATGCTAACTTTTGGGGGGGGGGGGTTGCTTTGTGCAAACAGTATAGATTATAATGTAGAGTCTAGACTGAGTAAAATAAATAAATTGGCCTTTTGTTTAGTCCATAAGAACTGTTAGTAATCCCAGTGGGACCAACTCTGTAGCATTGCCTAGGGAGATAATAAAGGGAGAGTGAATTGTTATTTCCAGGGTGTGTCTAGGAATTTGTGGCTTTTCCTTTAATCTTATATGTTTGTATATTTGCTGCATTTAATTTCTAAGACCAGCCTTGGCTATCGCTTCTTGTTCAGTGCTGGTAAATATTTGACCCAAGAGCACAGCCTTGAATTTCAGTTGAAATTAAATGGCACTTCAAAGAGAGGTAGACTTATTTTAAAATTTTTGTATTTCTTAAACACTCCATTGCTAATGTTACTTGCTGGCTGGTGTGTATTAAACCCTGGTTATGACAGGCCTACCCCTTGGGTGATGCCACATGGGTACTTCTGTGAGGAGTCGAGAAACAACATAAGGTTGGCCCTGGCCCTGGCGTGGTAGGTGTGAAGCTCTGCTCTCTCTCATCTGCCACCTCTCAGGTTCCATTCACACAGAAGGCACACAAAGGGTATCTTTCGGAGCTTTGGCACCTAACAGATGTGGGTTTGAATGCCAGCTCCTTAAGCTCCTAGCTGTGTGATGATCTTGGATAAGTCAGTTAACCTTTCTGAGCTTCATGTTCTCATTTCTACAGTGTGATAATACCTGACTCAGAGTTGTTGAGGGTGATGAAATGAGTTCATGTATGTGATAGTTGGCATCTAGCAGACATTCAGCAGTTTAGAGGTGATGTTACCATCATTTATGTAGTGTTCTCTGGGAGTCAGGAAGGAAAGTGACGTGCTCTACTTTTAACATGAACAACCTAAGCCTGTAAGATGTGATTTTTCTTTTTTAAATTACATTTCTTTTTAGTTGGTTTGTTCGTTTCCATGGGTAGATTGTGAAGGAGGCAAGGTGGCACCTCTCAGAGATGGTTTATCTCACCCAGTGATGATGAATTTACTAGTTGGTGGCTGTAGACAGTAACCAACCTTTCTGGGCTGCACTTTCTCCATCTGTAAAATATGGATGACATGTATTCCTGTGATCAGCTCCATTAGTGTTGCTGGGTTAAATGAGGGTAATGTGCGCAAGGTCCTTCAGTGCAGTGCCTGGCACAGTGAGAGCTTGTCACACAGTAGTCGAGTCACCGCTGTCATTGCCACGGTCATCCTGGGGGTGGTAGGGAGGCGGCTGTGCCCAGTGTGGTCTGCTCTGGTCTCATGGCTTGTGTGTATTTGCCTGCAGCACTGTCTTCCTCATGGGGCCGGTGAAACAGCTAAAGAGAATGGTGGAGCCCACACGTTTGATCGCAACCATCATGGTGCTGGTAAGGTCCGCCTTTCAGCTGGGCTTCTGGGTTGGGAGTTTTATTTCTGCTCTGTGGCATTTTTTTCTTCTTAACCTTTTCCCTTTCATCTTGACTTAGTAACTGATGCCCATAACCACTGTGTCAGAAGGGAGCATGCTCCATCTAATAATTACACCCCACTTTGTGTTTCTGTTGGTGTTAGGGTACTGCCAGTTCTATAAAGCACCTCCAGAGGGCGCTGCTGGTCAAATTAGCCAAAGTGGTAGGGTAGTAAGCGAGCTCCCATGCCCTCCTGGTGGTGGGTGAAGGCGGCACACGCAGGCATAACAGAGGGACTAGCTCAGAAAGACTGAGTTCATTCTCTGGGGCGGGGGAGGGGGGAGTCCAGTCTCATAGGGTGGGCTCTTTTCCTCTCATCGTCCTGTGACTTTGGGGTCATGTTTGTTTTCATTGGTCTTCCTCATGGCCCATCACCCCTGTTCCCTGCTCTGACGATAGTGCCTTCAGTCTCGTCCTGTCTCCCTGTCCCATTAACCCAGAATGCCTTTCATTTCTTTGGGCCATTTCTATGTGACCGTCAAAATCATTCCAGACCACATTCTCTGTCCTTTTATTATAATGAGCAGTAGCGCAACATTTGGAGCTTGGGTAGTGTATTTCACTTTTAGTTTTGTTTGTGTACCTCTTATTTCTTCAAATAGGTAAGTTTTCTAAGGCCGTGTCCACATTTGCTGTTTATTTTGTGTCCTTTCAGAGCACTGGGCACAGTGCTGGACACAAAGAAAATACTTAGGACCTATTTCTTGGAAGGTTACTGTTATGGAAGAATGGAGGTGATAGTCATGATGGATGCTCTGGCACCTATCGTCCTTGGCCCGTTGAGGATGGAGGTGCTCTGGACAAGTGTCTTGTAGAAAGAACTTTCTAAGAAGGGACCTAGGGAAAGTATCATGTGACAAGGAAATAGATAACTGACCCGCCGACTGTGAGAGAGGTGTCTCATGTTAACCTTTGTTTTCGCATGGCTCTTTCCACTCTCGAGACTAGTGTTTGGCAGGAGTTAGAATACAGGTGCCTGTGAAATCTGCTTTAGTATTTGAATGGAAAGACAGATGGATGGGCATGTGGGTGGACTGGAAATGTGATTTTTGTTTGCTGGGCAGAGATTTGGGAAAAATTTGAAAGTAAGAGAGGCTCCTTCCCTTTTTAATTTACTTGACATCTTATTGGCCAGTTTAATTTCATAGCAATTATAACTCTTCTGCCAAACGTGGGTGCTCAGGTGGGTGAAATGCTTTGAAATGAAGGATGCTTTTGGCTGCTGTGCTCATCACAGAAACCTGATTACTGCAGCTTGATCAGTATTAATGAAAGTTTGCCAAGGATAAGTCTTTATGGGATTTTCCCCCGTGTTGTCCTCGTAACTGTATTAACTCAATAATATTTCCTTTCTCTCCCCAGTTGTGTTTTGTGCTCACCCTGTGCTCTGCCTTTTGGGTAAGTTTGTATCTGCATTTTCTGTAACCTGCCTGGTTTCTGCGCCCGTCCCCCTGGCTCACGGAACCATGCTGTTTTCCTTTCAGTGGCACAACAAGGGGCTCGCCCTCATCTTCTGCATCCTGCAGTCTCTGGCCCTGACGTGGTAAGTAACCTTTAACCAGTAGTCCCTGCCCACGTCGGCCTCTGACTAATGCAGCGAAGGTGATAAACTCCCATGTGCTGTGGGGAGGAGGGTTAGGAAAGCAAAGATGCTCTTCAGAGAAGAATTCTCAGTGATGCAGGTGAAGTCAGGCTCCGGAGCAAAAGCCCGTGGACGCGGCCACTGCCAGTAGGTGGCGTGAGTGGCCTTGGGAGGCTGTTGGCCTACTGCAGCATTTTGGCTGGGCTCGGTGTTGATTTTGGGATGTTGTTAATGTTACTGAACCACTTGCATCCAGTAAGAGCAAGGATAATGAAGTCTTAGAGGGGCTGGTAAAAATAGTCTGTGAGTCAGAAAGACATTAAAGAGAAAGGAAAGTGGTAAGAAAAATAATGAGCATTACATTGGGGATGGGATGAATCATTTAACAGAGGGACGAAGAGTGAGTTGTCAGCCGATGAGCAGTGACTGACTGGAAACCACGTGCCTGTGGGCTGTAGGAAGCCTATTGACAAGACCAGGGGGTTGTAACTCGAGGGCCACGAATAGTGAAAGGGCGACTGGAGACATGGTCATTTGAAACCACAGATTGGGCTGTGGGTTCATGTCCCTTTCAAACTGGTCCAGGATCAAAGAGAGGATGGGATGGCACGTAATGAGCCTGGAGCTTGTGAGATGTTTCTATAATACTTCCAAAGTTTACCAGGGGATGGTATTTGCCAGACATTTTCAGTCTAGATGTGACTGATCTACTTTGGGGAAAAAAATGTTTGCTCTGAAGCAGAGAAAAAGAGGACTGTGAAAGTTTTTGAGTGTCCAAGGATCAATTAGGTAGAGATGGATCTTGAGACTGCAAGCTTAACACCCATCCCTCCTGTGGGTAATTTTGGATTTTTGAATAAATGTACTTTCACGATGCCTTTGGGAATTTACTATGTTCACAAGTAGATGGGGCTGGTGAGTGCAGGATAGGGCGAAGATTGATGGCCCAGTTTTGATGCGACACACGTTTTGGTAGCAGGTGCTGAAAGGGCCTGGCGTGACCACTTATGTTTATATTTTTGTTTTCTGGGGGCAGAAACTTGTACCCACATATACATGTCTGTCTTTGCTTTGCTTATATAGTTGTCCCCCCTTATCTGTGGGGGATATGTTTGTTTCAAGACTTCCCTGTGGATGCCTGAAGCCATGGATAGTATCGAACTCTATATAGAATATACTATGCTTTTTCCTACCCATACCTCTATGATGAAGTATAATTAATAAATTAGGCACAATGAGTGATTAGCAACAAACAGTAACTAATAGAACAATTTACACAATTTACTGTAATAAAAGTTATGTAAATGTGGTCTCTCTCGCTCTCAAAATATCATACTGTACTGTGCCCACCCTTCTTGCGATGCCCTGAGATGATAAAATGCCTTAAGTCGAGAACTTTTACCTCTTCAGTTAAAGGAAGCACTTTCCAGCTTCGCTATGGCATATCCGAGTTGCAGCATCACTACTCTTGCACTTTGGGGCCATTATTAAGTGAAATAAGGGTGACTGGAGCACCAGCCCCACGGTTCCAGCAGTCGAGCTGATAACTAAGTGACCGTTGGGCCCAAGCATCTGCCGCATAGGTAACACTGGACAGCGTGGTGATCCTGTCGCAGGCGGGACAGCGCGGGCGGCGTGGGATTTTATCGTGCTGCTCAGAACACACAATTTAAAAATCATTTCTGGAATTTTCCATTCGGTATTTTTGGACCACAGTTGACCATGGATAACTGAAACTGTGGAAAGCGAAACTTCCAATAAGGGGGTTCTGCTGTAGACTGATTTTAAGGACAGTTTTCAGAGGCTCAGCATTCATAGGAGCTCAGACAGTGGCACATCCCCACTGACACTGACGTATTCCGCCTGTGTGTGCTTTTCTTAGGGCTGAACAATTGACACCTGCCCGTCACACCAGGCCTGGTCCTTAGGGTTGTGGATAGCCCTCTCCCAGTGTAGTTCCCTTCTGGGCAGGGGGCTGAGCTAACTGGGGCCACCAAGATAGCTTTGGACTTGGGTTCTTGAAGAATCATAGCTTGTTTATGTTTTCATTCATAGAGTAGTTGGTACTGGGGTTTTATTTTTTTCTGTTCTTTTTTTAAAAGTAATTGGAGCAGAGCAGAAAATTTCTCCCAATGGGTAGAAGTTGTATTCTGTTGCGGATTTGTAAAATATGAGAGGACAAATGGTCTGGTGGTTGTTTGGCATCCTCTCAGGACAGGGCTCTGTGCCATCGAGATTTCTGGAATCTGCCTGTTTTAGGAGACTCTGCTGGCTCCGCTGGTCAAAGTGGTCACCCTGTGAGCCTGAGGTCACAGGGCTTTTCTCCACTTGGGCGTGTTGCCCTCCTTTGGCCGCAGATGACCCTCCCTCTCCCCAGTATAATTGTGGCGCAGCGTGTGTGTGCAGTCTCCACCCCGAGGGCTTCATAAGTCACTGCAGATGCTCTTACAGCTCAGAAGCCTGTTCTTCCGAAACCGTCCACTCCCTTCATTTAATTTGATCTTCTGTGTTTGTTTCTCATTATAGGTACAGCCTTTCCTACATACCGTTTGCAAGGTAAGATGCACTGTATTAGGACTGTACCATTTGTCATCTGGGGATGCTGATGTGTTTGCTGAGGGCCTGTTAGTATGGGTGCTTTCAGAGATTGCTTGTTTTATCTTCACTGAGACCCTTTGAGACAAATAAGCAGATGTTATACACCTATTTATAGATTAATAAGCTAAGGCTCTGCCCCGCCCCCCACAACCAGTGATAGGCATTGACCCAGGCCTATCTAAACATTCTGCTGTGATCTGTAGCATGTAAATGCACATTCCCACTCCTTTCACCAGCAGCTTTGAGGAGATTTTCTCAAAGGCAGGTACTACGTCAGTATCCTTGAGCCAGAGGTGGGGGGATCTAAGTTCGTATTTGTCTTCTTACAGCATCTCACTGATGGGGATGATTCAGAGAAGAGCTTGTAAAGGGAAAGTAAGCAGGCCAGGGGTTCCTATTAGCAGTGTAACCTTGGGCAATGCCCTACCCCTCTGGCTTCAGAGGACTCATTGCAACTAGAGTGGATTGGCCCTTCCAGCTCTGAGGTTCTGTCTCTCCAAGACTCCTAAAAACTGGCACAGTGTTCTTTGCCTCTGACTCTGTTTTTATGTCACTAATTTCTTTTTTTTAAAATATATCTTTATTGATTTCAGAGAGAGGAATGGAGAGGGAGAGAGAGAGAGAAACATCAATGATGAGAGAGTCAGTGATCGAGCCCACACCTGGGCATGTGCCCTGACCGGGAATCGAACCCTGATCGCCTGGATCCTAGGTAGATGCTCAACTGCTGAGCCACGCCTGGCCTGGCTATGTCACTAATTTCTGTTCTTCTCTTGTTAACTTAAAAGAAGTTTTTCCTGCTCAGTGGTTAGAGTGTCGCCCCACCGACTGAAGAGTCCCGGGTTCGATTCCAGTCAAGGACACGTACCTTGGTTGCACGCTCGATCCCCCGCCCGGGGTTGGGGCACGTGCAGGAGACAATCAGTTGATGTGTTTCTCTCACATCAATGTTTTTCTCTCTCTCTTCCCCCCCCTCCACTCTCTCTGAAAAGCAGTGGAAAAAATATTCTTGGTGAGGATTAAAAAAAAGTTTTTCCTAAACTGTTGAGAAAATGAAATATGGTGTGTGAGCTGAGGAGCAAAAGGAGCAGACTTATGTTTTGCCGACTCTCATGTCGGGTGCTGATAGTGATTGAAGGTGCTGGAAGTGAGTGACTAGATGAGAACTTAGCAGCCCATCAGGGTCAAGGCACCCATGGCTTTGCCAGCTGTCCAGGTCCCCTCATGTGTTATGTGTGTTGCGAGCTTCCAGGAGGGATTGCACTTGACCATAAAACCCTTTCTCACGCACAGCACCTCCTGGGACCACAGGGCAGAGCATAGCTTAAGAAATGGTCTAGAACTATCTTGATGTTAAAGCACTGCCTGCTCACGTGAGTGCGCTCACTTACCGCATCTCCTTTAGCTGGCTCCCAGTGCCCTTGGCATCAGTGCAGCTGAGAACGGAGTGGAGCTGGGGCGAAAGCCGTAGTCCATAGAACAGCAGTTTATTGAGCGCAGTCTTTCCGCGCATGCTCGCCACTGCATTCCCAGGATCACGTCAGTGAGCTCCGTGCTGTAGAGAGGTGCCCTTGCTAGGGAACTCCTGGCAGATGTTGCTTAGCACACATCTGCTGCTTGCTTAGAACGAAGGAATCCCCAAGCGACTGTTTCACTTAATGCATTGAGTATATTCTGTGACTCTGGTTGCTAGACAGTGCACTGTCCTGATGCACTTCTTGGTTTCTGATGGTCTCTGCTTCCCTCCTGTCTTTGCCTTTGATCATCATGATCGCTGTCATTTAGAAAGTACCTCCTCTGTTCAGTGCACTCACTCCCATTGCTGTTCTGGAGGGTGAGTGGGGACATCCCCTTTCACAGATGAGATATTTGCAACTCAGGCAAGACAAGCAACTTGCCCAGGTCTGACTCCGCAGTCTGGGTACTTTTTGCTCTACAAGGTGCTACTCTGGGAGCCAGGAAATCTACAGGAGCCCGGGGGCGGCAATCCCCATTTACCCTTGTGTTTCCCTCCTAGGGACGCTGTGAAGAAGTGTTTTGCCGTATGTCTTGCGTAACACGCCGCCAGTTCTGCAAAGCTTTGGGAGGCACCGTGGAAGGAAGCTGGTGGACACTTTTGTAAATACCTTTGAACTCTCACTCACAGACACGTGCCTTTCCTCGTGAGGCAATGGGTTCCTGTGACCCAAACCTTTGCGGATTGCTTTGGAGGCAGTGGTGTGTCTCCAATCCCAAATGTCTGTAGCAAAGCAGGAGGGGTGGGGTCTGTATCTTTTGGAGAGGACTTTTTCTCATCACTCCTTCCTCTGTGAGTGGTGGTCCCCTGAATTCTCATAAATAAAAACTGCTTTAAGCAGCATATAAGTCTTGGGAGCCAGGATCCCCATTGGAGACGGCAGGGTACAGCAGTCAGGGACAGCTTTGAGGCCCACAGGGACTTTGTCGACTTGTCCCTCAGCTTGGAGACCACCACCCATGCCTCATACAGCATCACATGCTTGTTCCCTGGGCCTGGGATCCAGCGACTGCTCCTGGACTGCTGTGCCAGCCATGTGGATCCTGGCCGTGGGATGGGGGAGGGGGAAGAATGGGCCTTTCGGGGGGTAAGGGGTGGTTTTGAATCTGAACCTTGGCCCATGTAGATGCCACCCTGGCTGTGGAATGGATTTGTAACATCAGCGCGCACTCTCTCGGGTTTTTCTATCTTATTTTACTCATGACCTCCAGGAACTAGACAGAGAACAAAGCAGCAGAGAAAATGTTGCTTTTCCTTTTCGACAAGAGCTGACAGGAGGTGAACATACAGCTGTTCTCTGCTGTATTCTTTCCTTCTTTGTTTATAAATAATTGATTTTATTTTCTGTTCTCTCCTGGAGCGGAGCCAGGGGAGAGTGGATGGGGTGACAGAGCCCCACTGTGGGGCCAGCGGGATGTAGGCCAGCTGCCCATGACCTTTAAGCAGCCCCAGTGCTGCAGCATGAGCCCACGCTGGAAACACTGTGTGCGGACGACACCGTGGGCTGCAGGGTGGTCGTAGCTCAGCCTAATGCCAGACCACAGATAAAGTGCTTCTGTGTCCCTGATCTTGCCTGGTCCTCACAAGAGCTTCATGACTGAGCATTCAAGGAAATCAAGGCTCAGAGAGGTTACCAGGTCTACCCAAAGCCACGGCTGGTGGTAGAGCTGAGCCAGAGCGTGGTGCCCAGCTTCAGTCTCTCCTGGCCCTGTGTTTACTGGTGTGGCTCTGGGGTAGCTCCTGTGACTGGGTCCATTTCCATCAGCAAGCCTGACTTTTCTGGTCTGATCTCTATGTCACTGCGGTGTCTCTGGCCCTGCCTCCCTTTCAGATGCTTACTGGGTCTGTGGCATCTCCATTCTCTGTCCTTTTAGCTTCTTGCTGCCTCACCACCAGAGTGTCCTATCTCGATCGCCAGAGTTCCTGTCATTGCAAGATCTCCAAAATCCCTCTACAAACAAGGTCTCTTTGCGATTGCCTTTCTATCCTTGACTTGCTCTAGCTGCCCATGTGGACTCTTGCTCTGAGAGCCTCCGTACCAGAGGCAGTGGTTGTCTCCTTGCTGTGGCTGTTGCTGGACTCTTTCCCTCTACAGCTGAGACTCCATACCAGCCAGCCTTTTCCTCTGAGCTGGGAGGTGTGAGCAAGCCTAATGGGGCAAAGTGGGGAGCCAGTCTTACTGGGTCCTTTCTAGGCTGTTAGGACATTTTGTCTTAGGCTGAGGTCCCTAACCTGCCTTCAGCCAGGGAGGGAAATTAAACACTACCCTCTTTTGTGGGTTCTTTCCTGTCCTAGGTGCCTCTTGGAGAGAGTTCAGGTCTCCAAAGGGCTCTGAGCTGCCTTTTAAGATGTCACCTGGGTGTGTAGCATAAGGTAGAGAACGTGGGCTTGGATGTCAAACACATCCGGGCATGGGTTGTGGCTCTGTCACATGCTAGTGTCATGTTGAACAAGTTACTTAACCTCTGGTCCTCAGATTGCTTATCTGTTTAAAAATCACAGGAATAAATAAGTCCCACCGGGTTGTCGCAGGATATCAGGGCTTAGCACAGGGCCCAGCACAGGTGAATGACATCTCAGTAAATGGGAGGTCATATTATTTAATCCCGGAAATAACCGATGGCCATTGAAGGTGACAGCATCAATGTCTCTGGCCATTAATTTATCTAAAAAAAATTATCCAGTACTACATTTCTGGCACTGTAGGTATTGCCATGCAGGATGTCATTTAATATTTGCAAAAATTTTGCAGGCTGGTGGTCTCGTCTCCATTGTTAGAGGAGCAGCCTCAGGGTAAGGGGGTCTGTGCCAGATATCGCCAGTAGGGGGCGCTGGCTCCTGCAGGAAAGCTCCTGCTTTGCCCTGATGGCCTGTGGCGTGTTTGTTCAGACCGCTCCACTCAGGAACTTGGCAGCTTGGGGGTGATCCTGCCTCCCAGGATCTTCTGGAATCCTAAATTTCTCCTCCTGCTGCCTGTTCTCTGTTAGCTTCTGGGTTGTTTTTGTCTGCTGGGCTGTGGGAGGAAGGCATCCGCTTCAGATCTGCTGAACACTGTTACCGAGCCGCAGTGCTGGTTTAAAGGACCTAGTGGGAGAGATGAGGAGTGGAAAATTGGTGTTAGACCCTGGGGCTGCTCCCCGGCCTTCCATGTGCCCCTCCCCCCCACCCCC